GCTCACAGCTTTTGTTTTGCTCCCTTCATCTGTTTCTCTCTCGCGACCAGCTGAAAATCGTAACGCGATGGTTTCCATGGCGATGAAATGTGTTTTTATTAATGGAGTCAATAAATGGTTGACCCCGCAATACAACAAAACAAAACAAAACAACTTGCATGCATCATAAACAACAACATCATCATCATCGCTCCACTTTCATCTCATTTGCTCTGAATCTTAAAATATTAAAGGAGTTTGGTGATGAGGAGGAGGTAATTTGGGAATCAATTGAGAAAGTGAGCTATGTACTGCTGTGAAGTCAATATCGAAACGGGATTAGGATTATTTTTAGTATTATACTGCAAAGAAAAAAAAAAACAAACTTTACCACGGCTTTACAAGTAACAGGAACAAACTGTTTGCCGCGTGGAATGTGTAATTGGTATAAATAGATCATTATTCAATGGCAGCAGAGGAAACGAAAAACCGAGGCGAAGAACGTGCGCGCACACTTTCTTCTACGCGAACGAAACGGAAAGCCATGCAAAGCCAGAAGTAAAGTACACACTCACTCACAATGGAACAAATGAAACTTGTGGGAAATCGATCGAAAATTTACAACCAAACAGCTGATTTATTTAATGAAGTTTTTGAAATTTGATATGAAAAAAAATGGTTATTGAGCAGAATGGATTATCGTAATAATCATAATTATATGGAGCGAATGTATGAATGTTTGTGTGACGCGTCGAGGCCTTTAATGAATGTACTTAAACGGCGGTTATTCATAACATGTCGGTGCGGAATTCAATTGATGGACGGTTTATTTGGAAGTCGGAATGAGTGGAGCTGGAGGAGGCGGCGGCGGCGGCAGCAATCGATTCGATGAATTGAATTGAAGCCGCCTCCAATGTACATTTTACGTGGAGGCGGCGTGGCGTTTGCGCGCGAAGAGGGCGACGGTGGTGAAAGAGGAGGAAGAGGAGGAGGCGGCGGCGGCAGTTGTTGCAGTTAGTACACGAGAAAGGGTCACTGCCAAGGCCGCACGTGTCGATCACGCCCTGCGTCGTAGCAGCAGCCGCCCCCAACCTTCGCAACTAAATTCCCAATGAACTCGACCAACTCCTGTCAACTTAAGTCTCGTGTTTAAACGATGAGGTGGAGACGAAGAAGAAGAAGGATGAGTACGTTGAATGAAGAGGAGAGGAAGGAGGAACAGGTGCGCTGCTTCTTTGCATGTTGCTGCTGCAGCTATCGTTGTTATATAGGAGGAGGTAGTGGTGATGTTTCTAATAGTGAATCGAAGTGTAGAAAGGAAGAGAAAAAGGTCCTTCGCAACGCAAGGTACAAGTAGTCCGGTGAGTGTGTACGTTTCTCTAGTCGTAGTCGACGTCGTTTGAAAGAGGAGGAGGAGAGTAAATAAATGCGATCAATGAAAGTACACACTCACATACAACCTTTATTCAGTGTACTCTAAAAATAGTACACTTAGATATATATAAAGAGCGAGGGAAGGCTTCGGAATAGAACGAGAGAGAGACCCATTCAAGTGCGCTCGAATCGATACTAAAAAAAAAATTAATACACAACACACTTATGCTCCACTCCACCTTCCCTCCGACAGCCTCGTATTAATAAGTATAGATATATTAATAAAGTACTGATAGTACAGTAAGTTTCCACTCGTCTGATAACGCAGACTTTCAAAGGGAAAGAATGTAAGAGCGAAAGAAAGTACCAACTACGTTATCATCTATTAATAGAAGCTTCCAGCAAACAGCTTTTCCACATCATTCAATTGATTGTTGCTATTGATTCAACGATAAATCCCTACAATCGATACACACACTCATTATATAAAAAAAAAACTATTTACCGCCGCCCATACTATAAATATATATATATGTATCGGTGTACGTAATGGAGGCCCGATAATAGTGACCTTATCTCCTCCGATCGCACGCGAATTTCCTGCCCGAAAAACCGCAACTCGATTCATCACACTCATAATCGTATCGCAAATTTTACAATGCAATAACTACTTTACAATTCGTTACTAATGTTTCTCTATTAAATAAAACAATGCACACTATCATTAATCGAATTTATGAGTGCAAAGTGTTTTGTTACAATCAAATCTGCCGTTTCCTTTCCGATATATTAAGTTTTCTATAGTGTCGCCATCTACGTTCGTAAAATCTAACTGAAATTCACAAACGTCATTAAAGTTTGCAAAGAGTACCAACTAATTCTAATATCAATGAACTGTCAATTTTTCAGTAAATTTGTTTACTATAATCTAGTTAGCAAATTCTTCATAACCAAATGAATGAATATAAACTGCCAATGTAATCAATTTTTCTTAGACGTTTTGCAAACGTCAAACAATTAAAATTGCTTATTAAGTTGCATAAGTAACACCAAAACGAAATCAATGTTTGTTGTTAAATAATTAGTGTAATTGCAGCTCGTATTTGTGCTGCACGAGTGAAAGCATTCGCTTCGAGCGTCCGAAAAATATGCGCTCTGCAATTTTCCAAATTTAATTGCACATTTCCAAAAGCGAACGCCGCGCGTATTTCGCAATTTTCTCGCGATTTTTGTCCTCTCGTTTCTACTGGCGAGAATGATCGATGTGTGCCAACGGGCTCGTATAATTCAGCTTTCCATCGACTATTTACATTCGAAAATAGCTTCATCCATTTGGAAGTTGTTTGCGAAAACGTACAACAACAACAACAACATTACCTACCAAAGAGGGAATTCGAGATTTAGTTCTTTGGAATCGAACAACTTTTAGAAGTAGTTACTAACATATAAACTTAGTTTTTAAAGTACGATTAGTTCAATACACTCTTTAATATTGAAGAACGTTAACGAACTTGAACATAATCATTGGATTTCCAAGAACACAAGTATTTATTAGTTGAACGACGTCTAATTACGATGTAAAGTTTCACTTAAACAAGCTCTCTCATAGCAATCAACGTGACTAAATAAACAGAGCCGCACGATTTCCAGGAACACGAAATTAACAGGAAAACAAACATTAGGAGCATCTAAAAATAACCACGGAATTGTTCATCATCGTTGGAAAAGCATCGTTTTGCAGTGTATTGCGTTTTTGAAAAACCATAAGCGTACGAATTTGTATACAAACTGATTCAAAAAATGCGATAAACCCAAAAAAATTTCGTTTCCGAAACTTACGAGCATTTCGTCACGTATACCACACACGCATCTCACGATCCGTTTCGTTCACTCTGCTAAAAGAGACGAAGAATAATTAACACAGTTTATTTACAAGAATAGTGAAGAGAGAATACATTCTCTTTCAAAGTTACATATTTGAATCGTTCAACTATGAATTTACAATATCGAAGAATACTGTTTAATACCTTTACCAGTTTTCAGAAATAATCGCTAATAATTAGAGTGTCTTCTATAATTTAAACTTTTTTACGTGTAAATAAGTAAATAATTCATAAGTTTCCAAAGATTCGATTTACATATAATTTATATAAAAGTATTAAGATTTTGAAAAAAAGTTTTGGTTCGAAGTGCTAGATTATGTCGCGCGATTAGATAATAAACATTTCTCGTTTGATAATCGTTATAAAATGATGCAATTTTTCGTTGCTAAAATGAATAAAAAAAAAACAGTTGGTTCATTGATTAAGGTCGAAATCAGAAAATAATTCAGTTCATAAATTAGAATTGAAATTGTTGGAATATCAATTGTTTAATGGGGGGGAAAAACAATTGATATTGATTTAGTTTTAATTTCTATATAATTGCAGTGCAAATATTTTGTAAATTCCTCTATCGAAATATATCAAGTTCGCATGAAGAATGTGAAATTTCGCTTTGTTCTTGTATGTTGTTTTTGATGAATGAATGAATATATTCCGTTCGTGTTCAATGCGAAATTCGGTTTGCAAGGAGAAGGAATGATATCATCGTCTGTTCGAACAATTGAATATGATTTTCCATTGATGGCATGCACGCAATCTTATCGATTCATGATGATGATTATCATTGTTCTTGTCGTTATCCAATATGGATAGAAAAACGAGTGCATTCAGTCTGGGCGAAAGTGTGTGTGCATTCTTGATGATAGCGATCATTATCATCATCAACCTTCCTCTCCCACCTCTTCATTTACAATTGTCGCTTAAGTCTAAACAATGGACGAACGCACGACTCCTCCCAACGCTTTGAGTCAAGGCCAACTCGGTATTTCTCCTTCTTCCTCGCAATAAGGCGCGATAAATAATAATAATAATGTATACATGCAAACATACAATAATGATACAAGCAGAGAAGTCGTGTAGTGCAAGGCGAAGGTTGCAGGAGCGAGCGCATAACCTTTCTCAACCGAAAAAAGTAAACACCTCCTCCATCTATTTCTTTCTCTCTCACACTCGCGCGCGCACACAGCAAAGATATTACGTAAGTCAGACTCAGAGACTTACTTATTTTTGTTTTCGTTATTTCGAGTGTCTTAGTTCAGTTGTGTGTGTGTGTGTGTGTTTTTCATTCTGCTGAAATATTTTGCAAATATTTTCGTCGTTCGCCGCAACCGCCCTCTTCTACATCCGCCCACCCGGATCTATTTAAATCGGAAAAACAAAAGCGCGATCCGCCAGCAATATAGTAGTAGTCTCGTAGTAGTGTGTAGTGTGTGTGTGTGTATTATATAGTAGGCGGGAGTAGTAGTGTAGTAAGTAGAGAGTCTATTTTGCACTTGGGGCCTTGTCCCGTCTCCCATTCTCCTCCCGCACATCATCAACAACATCTTTCTCACTCTCTCTTGATGTTGTTGATGTGTGCGCGAAAGGAAAGCCCCTTCGAAGCGCGCGATTCATAAACTTGGATCGATCGATGCTGCTGCTGCTGCGGTTACGACGACGATGACGACGTCGTTCATACATTACCATTGTTCTTTGTTACAGGAAACGCAACTTATTGATACTGATGCATTTTGTTGTGTTTTTTGTTAATTTTCTGCAATTTAGGAGGGCGAAGAGGAGGCTCCGAGCCGATGATTTCCACCGGGGTGGAGGGAAGAATACCCTACATGACCTACCCCGAGCCCTGGCGCGGCCCCCCAAAACAGCCGCCCGAGTTTCTGCGGCCCGCACCCAAACCCCTGCCTTCTACAAACAGGTAAATTATAACAACAATCCTTCTTCCAATTACACTCATCAGGTAACAATTTATGTAATATGGTATTAATAAATAAATAAATAACTGACTTCTTTCAAATTACAAATTTCCTGTTTAAACCTATTACAACATTTAAGTGTGCTTTACTTTTGAGCGTTTCTCTTTTGTAATTAATAAACAAAATTTGTTGAGAAACGTCAAAGTCGTACAATGAAATCGAAGACTTCGTTTGAATTACGGAGTTTTGTTTCATTGATTTCCATGACTACTGAAGTTTGTTTTCGATCAGACGATCGATGGTCGTGTAACGTGTGTGAGATGTTCCATGAATTAATTGCAAGTGTTTCCATATATTTTTGATAATATCGGCACATTTTCGTTTTTATTAAAGAAGGTATGTTGTTGCTTTGTTAATTCAGGTATAATGGGATGACGAATGGGACGAGGTTGGCTCCACAACCGCACCGGCCGACCAGCAAGTATCCATCGCCGCCGGCGGTGGCGCCAGTGAACCTGACGCAGCAGCAGCAGCACAAGGAGGACATCTCCGAGGAGCTGTCGTACACGGCCTACGCCAGGCTGTACCATCCGCCCAACTTCGGTCCGTATCCGACGACGCCAGCGCCGTACCTTTACCAGTCCCCGTACACCCCGTTGCTGAGGACCAGTTACGTGCAGCAGCAACAGCAGCAGCAGCCGCCGCCCCTCAGCCCATTGGAAACTTATGCGACGCCCACGACGCCGACGTCGGGCACCTACCTCTCCCCGCAAGCGGCGTCCACCTTCAGTCCACCCTCGACGTCCGTGAAGCCGGGACAGAGCGTGCTGCGCGAACGGAAGCATCCCTCCTTCAAGGTGCCATCCGGAAAGGAGGGATCTCTGAAACATCGCATCTTGACGAGGCCCGAAGATGCTTCGACCTCTTCGTCCTCCACCTTATCTTCCTCCAACTCGACGGCACCACACTCTCCGCTCGATCTGCAGCGGGACCATCGGAAACTGCAACGACAGCCTTCGCTTCTCTCATCCGCTCCATCCTCAACTTCTACGTCTGCCACGTCGCCTCCACGATCCCCAGCCACCAACAAATCTAACCACCACCATCATCTGAACCAACATCTGAACCACCACCATCATCATCACCACCACCAGCAACAGCAGCATCAAAGCAGCAACAACAATAATAACAACAACAATAACAACGTGGTGCAGGCCAAGTTCAGTAAGGGCTCTCTCATTCAGCTGGCGAGCGGGGATTACAAGCGCATAGAGGATATGCGGACGGAGGATTTCGTCCTTTCGGCGGAGAAATGCGAGGACCTTCGGCTGGCAGACAGCACGGTAGTGAAGATAGTGGAGAACCCAATCACCGGCACCGCCACCATCACCCTTAGCTACAACCAGCGACGCACGCAGGTAATTTTAATTTTAGCACGTTCTCTCCAATCTATACTACCTATTTCCTTTGGCTCACGGCCCACGTTCCTCAAGTTGAAATAACCCTATTTACGTAAACACTATAACTTCTACAGACTTAACACCAAACAACTCAACTCCAGTACTATTCAGAACAAACATAAATATCAGAGATTACTAAATTTTAATAGCTGTAGATGAAATGTTGTTTTTTGATGGCGAATGTTGAAGAATTCCGAAGCCAACGCTAAAAAACTATCGCACAACTAAATCCGAAATCTTTTCCAATTCGAGCCAACAAGTATGTATAATTGGTGCGCGTTGTTTCATTCATATTCATAATCGTGCAGGGGAAAAAGAAAATAAAATTAAGAGAACACGGTCAAAACTGGCTTTGATTTTCGTGGAAGCGGCAATTAAAACGCTGTTAGTTGGCGAAGAGATGAAAAGCCCCGGATTTTATCGGTCGCGCTTGTTCGTTTAGCCCGCGGCAAGGCCAAGGTGGATGTGCGTGTAAAAGGTAAAACTTTCCAAAAAAAAAAGAAATACTTTCCGATATCGCAGGGGCCGTGTTTTGTTGTTTTATTTCTTCCTTATTTCCTTTCACGTATCTCCGGAGGTGGAAGAGGTGAAATATGCGGGTCAATTTTAAAGAGACGATGCTGCTGGTGTTGTAGTTGTAAAAGAGGCGCCAGTCTTTTACTCTGTTGTTGGTGTTGGTGTTGTTGTTGTTGTCCGAAGAGTAGAGGCCGAAGAAAACTCGTCTTTCTGTGACCGCAGAGTAGGCCTGGGACGTTCAAGGTCACTACTACATTACTACACTACACTCTCTCAATTAAAGCCTCTTCTCTCTTACAACAACAACAACAACTACGACGCTCTCGTACAAACAGCACCGCACCTCTTCTTTCCGATCTGCCCCAAATACAATTCTAATTAGCATCTCTTACGTAAAAAAAATTACATTATAGTTTTCGTATTAATCAAATACACTCACTCGTAATCAAACAGAAGTAGCGCAAAGTACAACTTTCCAAATTTAATTCTCTGAATTTTCGTTCCGAAAAATTTTAGAAGATTTACAGCGTTTTCCAATCGCGCTTCACGCATATTTGGAGGTGCGATAATTCATGGTTGCAACACGATAGACGCCTACACGCGACTCCAGACCTGAAGGCGCGTTTCTTACGAAATTTCTTAAGAATTTCTATGCATTCAATAATAAACAGCTGTTGGAAAGAAGCAAATCCTGATAAATTGAGAAATTTAGTGAATGTGCAGACATTTCAGAAAATTACAATAAACTTGTTTACTGATCCTTTTTTTTGTTTTTCTTGGATAGGTTGATGTGGAATCGGCGCTGGATCATCCGTTCTTCGTGTACGGGCAGGGTTGGGCCTCGTGCAGTAAGGAGCGAACTCTGCAGGCGTACGGTCTGAAGGTGCACACGCTGCAGGTCGGCGACATCCTCATCAGTTTGACGCCGAAGGAGGGCGGCGGCGGCGGTCCAGAGACGACGAAACCACCGTCAGCGAGGAGCGAGACCATCATCACGACGGCCACGACCACGTCGATGACGGTGCGTCCGATTTCCGCCAGAGACCATCACCAGCACCACCATCAGCAGCAGCAGAATCATCATCTTCATCAGCAACAGCAGCAGCAGCAGCAACACCTCCATCATCCGCACCATCTGCACTTAGTCAACAATCTGTTAAAGGAGCAGCAACAGCCGTCGCAGCCTCCTCCTCCTCCTCCGCTGTCGCCTGACCGGAAGCGGAGGTGGTCAGCACCCGATCAGATCGCCGATGGTGAACCGGAAGCCCGGGTCATCCGCATGGATTGATTAACGGATCCTAGATGGCGAAAAACGAAAACAAACAAAAAAGCACAAGCGTCGTTGTTGACGATGTTATATTCTTGTTGATTGATTTGTAAATATGTATAAAACGAAGAGGAGTCGAGTTAAGAAGAAAAGAGAAAATATATATGTACATGTATATATATTTGAAGAAAAGGAGCGATCTCTGTCTCACATTTCACATTTGAAGCGAGCGAAAAAAAAAAAAGTTGATATGAAAATTATATTATTAGTGCAATGGATTTTTTTTCTTGTTGTCGTTGTTGTTGTTGTTTTGTTTAAACTTACTGTATTATACACGAACTCACATCAATTAGTCTTGTCATGACAATATATTAATGGGAATAATAATAATAATAATAATAATAATTAACGAAAGAAAAACATTTTTTTTTATAAAAATAAAAATATATTAAAAAATCTATATATGTAAATATATATATATATATAATTAGAATGAGAGAAAGAGGACGAAAAGCGAGACGAGTATTATTATTGTTCAGTGATAATTTTGTTATTTCTCTTCGATTGTTTCGATTCGATTGTCGGATTTATTTTTGTTAGTTTCGTGGAGTCGATCTCAAGACGGACCTCGTGTGATATAGAAGAAGATGAAGAATGAAGGTAGAATGAAGGAGAAGGAGAAGAAAGAAAAAAAGTTTTAAGTAAATAAATAAATATTATTATTATATTATATTATATAATGGAAAGGAAAATGACTTTCTGCTTTTCACCAAAAAAAAAAAAAGAAGAAAGAAAGAAAATGAAGAATTAAATCGAAAATTTATCAAAAAAATATAAAAACAAAAACACATACACACACACACATATATATATATATTTTTTGGGAATAAAATAAAATAAATTTGTTATCATCTAATCCAATTGTTTTTATTCCGATGCATTTCTCTGAACAAATCTAAATCAAGTTGCTGTGGAAATACTCTCGTTTCCATAACAATCGAGATTTTCAATTTGAGTGATCCAAAATTTTATTTAACGATAACGGAAAAACAACTGCAAATTGACTTAAGTAATGTTGCACGAATGAGGAAAATTGAATGAAATAAATTTGCTCGAATTTAGATTTTAAACGAATTTTAATTGTTATATATTAAAAATATTAATAATAATTGTAAATATATAGAGAATATATTTTATTTGTGTGAGAGAAACGAATGAAGAAGTTGTATTTTCTAGAGAATCGTGCTTTTCGAATAAACATGTCCCATTTATAAATAAATAAATATATATGTACACTATATAGTTAATAATTAATAAGATTGAGTACGCGTTTGTTTGTACAGAGAAGATGATGAGATGATACATTTAGTTTTTTTTTGTTGTTTGTTTTTTAGATAGGATGTGTAATATTAATGAATTAAAAATTTCCATGTGAATTTTCGGCTGTGATACAGTGTAAAAAAAAGTATGTGGAATACTACAAGAAAGCCACTTCCCTCCATATAAATATATACGTATATATATTTATTATATAAACAAAAACAAAAGGTGAAACAATTGAATTGTCAAGTAGAATCTTTGATCCCAATTTACATGTGTCAATAATATGTATATAAATAGTAAGCGCATAATATCTAGTAATAATTGTATGCAATAACGTTATATACCTCACGCATAGAGAAACACACTTAAACTTACAACACACACTCATTCATTCATACACACTCACACAAAACTTACCTTAATGTGAAACCAAATAGCGAATAAATGAGAAGGCTCAACGGATAAATGAAGCTCGATTTCTCTCGGCCTCCCACCAAAAAAACAAAGTCGGCTTTGAAGAAGCTTACCATTAGTCCGTGGATCCTTCAGAGTTTATCATATGGGATCGTTGCTTACGTAGATATTTTATATAAAAGAATGTTCATGTAGATGGGATGAAATACATTGGAAATGTGTAAAGCTGAGAAAGAAAACTGTATTTTTTACTTTGAGCGGATGCGCCGGGTATCTCAAAAAAAAAAAATACAATTACTTTAGATCAGAGACAAATATAAATATTGTTGGATGATGCTGGGGGAACAAAGCAAACTAAGCAGAAAAGGGATCTCAGAGATTTTCCTCGAAATACGAAAAAAAAAATCATGATTAATTATAATTACTCCGTGAATCTTTTCATTTTTTTTAATATATTATATAAACTTATATATATTTACTCTTATTATTTGCTATAGCACTATTTTCTATTATTATTATATTTTTTTTGCATAGTTTTATACTGGAAGTGATTACTTTTATAGTTGTTGTTGTTGTTGATATTGTTGTTAACACGAGGCATTATATGATATAGGTGATCATTATTATTACTATTAATCAATATTATTAACGAATTATTATTATTATTATACTGTTGTTCACATTTTAATCACGTAGGTTTGTGTCTGCAAAAAAAAAAAACAAAAATAAGAAGTGCCTTGGTAACCGAAACAAAACAAAATCATTAACGCATTTGATTTCGTTTTTGTTTGAAAATTGAATGTTAAACATGGATTTGATTGGATTGGAATTAATTATATTATAACAGACGGATTAAAAATAAACGAAGAGAGTTTTCAATTTAACGTGAGAATTGATGTATATGTACATATTATATATTATTATTATCATTATTCTTAACAAACAAAAAAGTTAATTTTATTTACTATATATATATATTATTGTACAGTGTGCCATTGTTGAAGAGGAAGAAGGATGAAGGAAATGAATAGAAAGATACGATTATTTGTGATGATGATGATGGTCGCAGAAAACTGAAATAAAGAAAGAGAAAATATTATGTATGTAATTGATGCGTTGTTTCTTTAATTATCCATCCTTTTACTCAATAAATGTCCAACTTGGAAAGTCTGGTGTACGAATTTATGTTTGTTGTCAATTGTTATAACTGTGGAAAAACAATGACACGTAACGACACTAGATTTCATTTGTTTAACAAAAGAACTTTTGTTAATTTTGACAATTGATTTCAAGTTAATAACTACAAATATCACGAATGAAATATTAATACGTGATAATTGAGAGAAATAATAAATTTTGAGAGCAAGAGAAATATGGATTTTCAGTTATGAATGAAAGGATGCAAATAATGAATACACTTGTTAGCAAATACATTTCAGCGTTTTATTTCGCATAGAACTAACGAAACATTGATTCTCCTATTATAATCGTTAATTTATTTATATCATTCGATTACTTACGAAAATCACAAACAAGTATAATAGAAAACAACAACAACAAGAATAACATAAAGAAAAATTATAAAGTTCCCTTCCTTCTTCTCTACAATTCCACATCAGAAAATTCAAGTTTTCTAATTCAGTTTAAAAATTATTAAAATATTGAAAATTTACAACACAAAAAAAAACTACAAATCAATTTTTCTTTTTCCAATAGTATTTAGTAAAATATATATATAGAGTAAATACATTTTGGTTAAATAGACTCTTTAATAAACAACGGTAAATTTTTTTTTTGGGAACCAGCCCAAACAGAAACCCTATAATTTCCATATATATATATATTTAATTAATTAATTAGTTAAAATTTGATGCAACAGAATCAACATTTTTTTTTACATAATTTCTATTTTTTTTTCGTTTGTTTATATCTGTTGCATCGCAGCCTGCACGATATTATTTTAATATAAAAGCATCTCTGTTCTCACATCTAAGTTCAGCAACAATGAAAATCAAGAAATCAGTAAATATAATTGTGAAAAATTACGTAATTAGTTTACTAAACTATTAAGCAGCTTTTGTTGTATGTTTTCTTATGTGTATTTGGTTGATTTGCTGAACGAAGATTCTTGTAAATATATAATGTATATAATTAATTTGATTTTATATATAATATAAAAAATATAAAGTGTAACAAATCACAGGCACATAGATAAGAAATATAACTTATTTGTGTTAAATAAAGTAAAATTAGTTTTCAATTCATCAGTTTAAAGAAAAAAAAAAGAACAAACTGAAAACGGTTATGATTACTACGATTAACTAACTATTAGAGATAAGTGGGTAACATCGATATAATGGTTCAAGTTTTTGGTATAAATTACACATGCAATTAAGTAATTGTGACGAGAGATTTACGTGATGAGATCGACGATGATGGTGATGATGATGATGATGATTTGATCCGATGAAGACCCGCTAGTAACGTATGTAGGTGTCGTCGCGGGAAGAGGCGCACAGTCAATCGAAAACGGCCGTCCAGCAGGTGAGGAAGTTGATGATCCAGGTGTCCTTCTTCGACGGTTTAGACTTGTGCGAGGCGATGAGTTCCTTGTGCCTCTGCAGACTGATCTCACTGAGCTCATTGGGAATCTGCTTGCCGGGACACCTCTTCCGTATCTGGTACTGATCCGGCGGTTGCGGTTTCTTCCCTCTGGACTTTTCCTCCAAGAAGTAACGTATCCTCTGCACGTCCATCGGCTTCAACATGCCGCTCTTCGTCGGCCCCTTTATAACACCGTAGAACTTCCCGTGAAACTCCTTCCTGCTCATCAGGCAATACCTGGGCGTGAAGCGGAGTTTCCTGAGGACTTCGGGCATCCTCTCCGGCCCGAGATTCCTCTGCTCGATCCTCACCATCGCCCAATCGTACACGGCCACGTACACGCTCATCTCGCTCTGCACCTCCAGCGAATCCCTCACCAACAACTCGTAAACCTCCATGTAATCCAGCTCAACGAACTCGGGACTCTGCAAAACGTACTCAGCCTCTTTGTCGATGAGCAGAAGACAATTGTGACACAAATTCTCGAGGATGTCCTCGCTCCAATCCGTATCCCTCAGCCTCTCGTCTTCCACAAGAGGCGGCGCGGACGGCTCGAATTCCGTAGGTTTCATCCTCTTGAACCATCCCAACTTCCTGAAGACCGTCAGCACGTTCTCTCTGTTCAGCAATCTGTCCACGTTCCTCACGCACTCCTTCATCAGCGGCATGTTTTGTTGAAGAACCGCAGTCTCCAGCAGATCTATAGCAGTCGTCATGTCCTTGATGGTCAAAGGCACAGCCTTCATCGCACTGTAAAAAAAGCAAAAAACGAAAATAATTACATATTTCCATACGACAAAAGCGTAATAATAAAACGCTCCAGTTGCAACAGTTTCCAATCATGCGTTCAATTACAAGCAAAATAATCTTTACTTCGTACGCTCCAAATCATATACAACAATAAACATTCGAACACAATATGTGTATAAATAAATTACAAACTTCAATAAATACAACAAAATAAAACTCAATTTTAGCATGATTTCAAGCATGAAATGTTGTATTAATAGGCAAAAAATATTGATATTATAGAATAAAATGTACAAATCTGAAGCGTTTACGTTCAAAATGTAATTATAAAGTGATGATTTCAATAAGATACGCTTATGTAAATATAAATAAATGCGAAGGTGAATAGTGTACAAATAAGTTTTTGTATGAAATGTATGTAGATTCGAACACTACAATTAGCACACATTCCTTAGTAACGTAATTATGTCCACAAATAACTATTACTATTAACAATTTTTCTTTTCTTCTTAAAGCAACAAAACATAAAATATCTACAGAAATTCTCATTTCACTTAGTTTTCATTCACTTAAAGATTACGTTCTTAATTAGCATTAAAGCATCAATAAACTTTATTTAACAAAGCATTAGTTAAGTACACAATAGCTTCCAAGTAAACAGCAAAACTTTTACTCATTTGTAGATTACTAATTCTTATGTAAAGAAACACATTAAAGTATTCAAGTTAAATAATTAAGAGAATCCCTATACCATAGAAAAAAAAACAAATAAATGAAGCAATTGATAAACAGTTGAAATTGGTTAGGACCCACATTCGCTAACCGTCCATTACACAAATGAATTAGCTACGATAAAACTGTGTAATTGACAAATATCACCCATCGAAAATTGCTTAACTTTCGCTTAAATTAAAGCGAAATAATAAATTTATTATCATGAAGGAGAGACACACAAATCGTTATCGCAATTTTCTTTTTGTTTTCAATCCTCGACTCGATTTTTGCGGTTTCCGCAAATCCAAACATTTCTTTGCGGTTTCCACATTCCGTTTTTAGATCATCGATAAACTGTGAACTCACAATTTTCTAAAAAAAAACCGTCCAAATCAGTTTATTCAAAAAAAAAAATATTAACAATTTAGATTTTTCCTTCGAGATTACTTCAATTGCGTAAACGTAAAATTTAATTAGTTATTCTTAATTAACACGCGGCGACGTTCTTAACAAAACGAAATATTCATCGAGAATATCCTTGAGAGCGCCACCAAATCGATATGCTTTTGTTTTTAACCTTGGTAACCGTCGATACACATTACCAATTTTTTAAGTTTAAAACTCGGATCAGTTTACAGTTTAAATATTTGCAATTAATTGAAACGACAGACGAAAAATTAAAAAATGAGATAATTTTAATTAGATTTTCTTATCTAATTCCGAAACAGAGATGACTCACATTCGGAAATGTTTCGTTGTTAAAATAATTAATTAAATTAATTAAAATCTTAATGTTTAAGTTGTTTCTTATTTTACCATGAAATAAATAGATTATAGTAAAAAGAATTAATGAGATTCAACAAATAATTTATCAAACTTGTTAAAGTTTTGAATAAAAAAAAACAAAAGTAAATCAAATTTGTTGTTACATATTTTCAACTGTTTTCCTTTTCAACGAAACAAAATTTGAAAGAGTTAAGTTAAGAAGGCCGTGGACTGAAAGCGCAATTGTTTTAATTCGATTAAACAAAGTCTATTATGAATTAAAGTCCGGTTGTGACATTTACAATCTACAATAATTGGATTTTTTTTAATCAACTTTTTATTAAAATCTATAATTACTATGAGTTTTTATCTAAAGAAAAGACCATAACATCACGTAGGAAATTATAAACAAACAAAGATTTTTTTTACTTAGCTATATTTTTCAATTTATTTGAAAATTTGCAGTAAAATTTGTTGAATGAAATCTAAATGTTTGTAAATTTATTGGAAAAAATAACAACTTTGAGTAAATTAGTTTGAATTTGTCCTAAATTAAAGAATTGTCATTTATTTACTTAATTTATGAAATATTTCAGTTTCTTAAATAAACGAAAAACTTTGTAAAGTTGGATGAAAGTTCTATCAAAATGTTATGAGAAAAAAAAAACAGATGGTCTTGAAATGCTCGTGATGTGATAAAACAGTTGAAAAAGTACGTACATTTGTTTGGAAACGATGGTAACCATCGTGGATGGAGCGTTTTGCACGTATTTTCTCTGCAAAATTGCGTTGCGCAACAATTTAAACAAACGTTCTCCCGCATGCAGGCACCGCACTAAACGCACACAAAGCACTACACAACGAAACGAAGGCTTTCCATCCTCGAGTAGTTCCTTTTCCTACTCTTCCCACAAATACTCTCCTCCACTTCGATCATCGTCAAAATGTTGATGTTAAAGTTCAAAAAGTTATTATTAAGAAATTGTTGTTAATTGGAACCGTTGGTAGTCTTTGATCGAAACGAATCTTATCGCACCGATAAAACGTAACAATAATAACGGTTATAAATGCAATTTGAACGTTTATCCTTCGCAAACTTTTACTCTCTTCACATGCCATTGGGTTTTCTATCTTTTGCAATGCTCAAACAACTAGGAAAAATAAAATAAGTTTACTCACTTTATTACAGGTCTGTACGCTCTGGCCATCATCGGATGTTTCTCTCCGTCTTTCATGGGTAGGATTGGATGCAGCTCGGAGATGGTGCTCGCCGTGTCCATCATCTCCGGAGGATCGATCGGTTGCATCTCGTCCTCCGGGTCTTCGCGCGTGTGATTCACCACCACGACCATCCTTTATTATGAAGTTCTGCGAAGAACACAAACTTCTTTTACTTAACGGAATTCGCAAATCCCACGTGGAAAAAAATAATAAATATAAACTGAAAAGTCGATTTTAGGTCGATGTCACGCACTGACAAGTCAAAAAATGATGATTTCACGTCAAATGACGAAAATTTTGTCGTTTATATATACGAACAGATAAAGGCCTTATCTTCCCTCTCTTCGTACATCAACTATTTAGAATGTTGCATTTCCATCAACAGAATCTTTCAAAAAATTCGCAAAGGTAAACAAAGATAAACAAAGATAAACCCAATGAATTCAGAAAAATATCTAATTAACTTGTAAACTAATCATTTTATTGTTTAATAAACTTACTTATTCAACTGAAAGTTAAGTAATTAAATTAGTTTTCATTTAAAACTATATTTATATAATTTTAAATGTGAAATAATTGAAGTTTTTCTTTGATTAAATTGATTGAAATGATTCAAAGACACAAAAGAAATAAATTATATAAATGTAATTTGCTTTTTAAAAAGACAACGATTAATTTCTTCAATCAGATTGGAATATGTGAGAATCGTTTAAAGTGTTAATTAAACTTTGATTATCTCCGCTTCAATTCGCTTTTAATTTAATAGTGGAAACGTTCTGTTATCTCCCCTTCTGACTTTTCAGAGATTAAGAATTGCATATTGGATGTAACAGCAAAACAGACAATTAATAAACGTTCTTACATAATCAGCTGAATGCCCTTCTGATCGTGTTTCAATTAGCGATTCGCGCGTTCGTTTCAATTACGATAAAGAATTTTCAATTAACTTCTCCTATTCTTAATGACTCTTCATAATAATTTATTTATTTATGTGCGATATGTTGAGCAACTGGACGGACACCTCAACCTCTTTTAGTTGTTATTGCTCAAGCGTCTCGGATCATTGTTATTATGACTTCTTGTAAATCCGCATTAATAATGCATATGCGTTCGACCAATCGTTCGTCCTCAAACCAAGCAACAAAAGAAGTTTTTCATCCTTCTTCATCGTAAAAGTAATTTATTGAGATTTCGTTCCGGCGATAATAAAATGGGGCTTCGGTAATTGAACGCAATTAACGTTTCAAGTGCAAACTTCTCTTATTCACAATGTATTCCATTTCATTCGCTACAAACTCTTCATGCGGGTCTCAATGCTTAACTATAACGGGGGGATTCGCCTTGAATTCGTTGCTCGCTCCAACATTTATGTGCTTAAAAGCATCATCATTTGGAAACCTTAGATTTAACAGTACGTTTAATTCTTTTACCAAACATGTCTAAATTCTTTAAAAACAAGTAAAATCAATCAACTCTTACAGTTTTTTAAGAAAATCTGGTAATAATTTAATCAAGAAAATCATCTAATTATATAAATAATGTTTAATTTACAATTTTTGATTATATTTTATGAGAAAAAAAAGTTTGAACTTAAAGTTTATTTATTTAAAGTTTACAATTTTTCAACATTTTGAATCTTGTCTTTCTTCAAGTGTGTTTTTTTTTGTGGTATAAATTCACAGCCTTCTTATCTATAATTTCAATAAAATTTTATATTTAAATTCTACAGTTTTTTTTTTGTAATAAAATTATAAACAAAAATTTATAAATTCGCAGAAAATTTTAAGATTTCTAAATTTCATTGATTTTTCTATTTTCAAGCACATCTTGTATTCTTTCAATTGTTTTTAGATTAATCACAGCCTTCCTTTCTGTAGTTAGAAAAATTTTCAATTGTTTTTTGTTCATATAAAATGACAGCCTTCTTTTCCATAATTTCAATAAAATTTTATATTTAAATTATACAGTTTTTTTGTAATAAAATTATAAACAAAAATTTCTAAAATTTGCTGAAAATTTAAAGATTTCAATTTATAAAAGTGCATTTCTAAATTTCATTATAAATCTGTCACTTTTGAATAAGACGAAACTTAATTTTTCTATTTTCAAGCATTTTCTTCAATTGTTTTTATTTTAATCACAGCTTTCCTTTCTACAATTTCAATAAAATATTAAATTACAATACACATTCTACACATTACAATTCTACAGTTTTTTAAGAAAATTAGAAAGAAAAAGTTTAAAATTTGTTTACTTCTAAATTTTATTATAATTTTGTCAATTTTACAACAAATCTTCAACTGTTTTTCGTTCGTATAAAATGACAGCCTTCTTTTCCATAATTTCAATAAAATTTTACATTTAAATTGTACAGTTTTCTTGTAATAAAATTATAAACAAAAATTTCTAAAATTCGCTGAAAATTTTAAGATTTCAATTTATAAAAGTGCAATTTATAAAATTTCATTATAAATCTGTCACTTTTGAATAAGACGAAACTTAATTTTTCTATTTTCAAGCATTTTCTTCAATTGTTTTTATTTTAATCACAGCTTTCCTTTCTACAATTTCAATAAAATATTAAATTACATTACACTTTCTACACGTTACAATTCTACAGTTTTTAAGAAAATTAGAAAGAAAAAGTTTAAAATTTGATTACTTCTAAATTTTATTATAATTTTGTCAATTTTACAACAAATCTTCAATTGTTTTTTGTTCTTATAAAATGACAGCCTTCTTTTCTATAATTTCAATAAAAAATTTTTATTTAAATTCTACAGTTTTTTTGTAATAAAATTATAAACAAAAAGTTATAAAATTCACTGAAAATTTTAAGATTTCAATTTATAAAAGTGCAATTTATAAAATTTCATTATAAATCTGTCACTTTTGAATAAGACGAAACTCAATTTTTCTATTTTCAAGCACATTTTGTATTTCTTCAATTGTTTTTATTTTAATCACAGCCTTCGTTTCTACAATTTCAAGAAAATATTAAATTATATTACAATACACATTCTACACGTTACAATTCTACAGTTTTTAAGAAAATTAGAAAGAAAATGTTTAGAAATTGTTGTAAAAAGTTCACTTCTAAATTTTGTTATAATTTTGTCAATTTTACAACAAATATTCAATTGTTTTTTGTTCGTATAAAATGACAGCCTTCTTTTCTATAATTTCAATAACATTTTACATTACACACTTAAATTCTACAGTTCTTAATCAAAATTATGAACAAAAAGTTTAAATTTATTAAAAACGTTACAAATTCGATAATTTTTTTTGTAAAAATCAATTATTTTCATTATTCTTGTTAAAGTTAGTGTAGGTTTTCGAGAAACTATCTAAAATAAAAACTGAACTTGGAAGAAAGTTGCAATAAGAAATTCTAAAAATAGTTTTTTTTCTCAAAATTTGAATTTCTTGTTAGAAAATGTTCTTATTTTAAAAGCATAATTATAATATATATTTTCCATTTCCATGTGTATAGTATAGAGTAGTCAATGTAGAACAATTTGGAAATGGAATGACTCAACTCGATTCGAACTATAAGCTAATTAAGGTAATGCATTTTCCTTAATGTTTTTGTAAACAAGCGAAGATAAAGTAATGCGAATTCGAAATGTTATCAATATTTGTGTGTTTTCCCCTCTCAAAGAGCGATTAACAATACCGATTATTATTACTGACGGTAGATTAACCCACGCACTAATTAGACTTCGAGCAAACAGAGATTAGTGCGCGTGCATTGCAGAAAAGACAAACATTTAATAATAAAAGCTTATCGTCCTTTGCCTTTTTCCGCTCCAACCGTAGTATCAACACGTTTGTTTGAGTCATTTTAACCATCTTTTCCTATTTATTTGCATTTGCCTTACTCATTGATAATAACTTCTAGCAAACAAGAAGCAACACTGCAACCCTTATCGATTCTCAAACACAACAACTTTCATTCAACAATTGTCGATATCATAACAAGTCTCATTCAACAATTTAGTTTAGAAACATTGTTAAAGATTCATCTAATTGTCTAAAACGAGGAGGCTACGAAACATTCGCGGAATTTCTGCTACAGTCGAACGTGTTTGTTTTATTGTATTATCGTCGTCTGTTTTGAAACCTTGGCAACTGAAATTCCGCGTGCGTTCTTTTTTCGGTTCGCTCCTGTTTTTCTTCCGTTTCTCTTCTCTTCTTTTTTTTCCGCGTTGGCCTGCTCCGATGTTTCATCATGTTTTTGATCGTTTCCATAGTAAATATACACATACACACGCACGCACGGTGTTTGTATAGAAGAATGTTGCACTCAATAATGCAGAAGTGGCGGTATTTTTAGAAGGTGGACGAGCGCGCGCTTTAAGCCCAACGAACAGCAAGCACTCTAGATTTGCCAATTGAATTAAACAGTTGAAAACTGTAATTGGAAACCACAAAAAAAAACTTCAATATATTGATTAGAATAAATTGATTGCATTCAATAATTTATCTATCATTAATTGTAAGTTTCTTGAAAAATACACAGGTTTATTTTTTTCTACCTGAAAGAAAGAAACTTGGTAATGTGAAGAATTGGCAACGCCGGAAAATCGAGGCGTTTTTGTTTTTCGCGGTGCATTGTGGGTGGAATTATATCAATGCAACGGGTATCGTATTACGTCTGTATGAAAACCCAATGATTTTCACTTTATAAGGAAATTAGAAGTAAAAAAAAGTAAACACTTTTACAATTACTTTTTTCAAAGTGTATTTAACAATGGATGAAACCACAGTAACTTTTTACATTCCCCAAACATTCAGCTTTCATATGCATCATCATATGCATTTATCCAAACGGATAAAACCACAGTAATGTATCGATACTTGCTAGGTTCCCCAAACATTCAGCTTTCATATGCATCTTTTGGATTAATT